TGGATGTGCATTGGGGGAAACTCACTTTGGTCTCATGTCAGATATCAGAGTTGCTTTCTTCTTTATCTGCCAGGCTAGAAGGCGTTCGCACTTTTCCAGTGGTTCCTAACAGATCGCACAACAAAACCCAATCTGTATCTAAATATTCATCTAACATCAAATAGACATGTAGGAGTRCTGCACATGCAGATCTACACATATGCACAGGGTCTCTATGCACTCTCAGCAGCAAACTTGTATTTGCTTTTTAAAAATTATCGTGCAAAGGTAAACCTACCWTTTCTAGATAGCATCAGGCTTGTTCAAGTATTTTGTTTTATGGGTTTTGGATTTAGGTTTTTTTGGTTTACTGCTGTCTATTGATAGATGACCAGCTTTTCTCTAGGACTCTGAGCTCAGTGTCCAAAGGTGAWACTGAGTTTTTGTTTAGACTTCGTGGACAGGAGTAGAAGGAAATCTTATGCATCTTATAACTGAAGAGTAAAGTGAAGYGCAAACCCTCAGGTTCTTGCAAAAGGCAGTTAACAGACACAATAACAGCTGGAGGACTTYTGAGATCTTTGAATTCTGAACATCTCTGTACAAAACAGTAGATCCAGTTTGGGAACTATTATGTTGTAAGTCATATAGACAGAAATTCAGATTTTCTGAGTAGAAATGTCAGACATCTGATTACTCTATTCTATATTGCTAWGGTAGATCTACAAAGGCTGTGCTTTCTAAATCACACCTTACAGTACATAAGGAACATTTAATTTTTGACATCGAACAGATTTCTTGTACATTAGGCTAGGAATTTGAAATGAAAAACTTGGCTATTGATTTAATTATTTTTAAGTTAATATATGTATTAGCTTGTACATAGGAGAACAGCATCTTACAATGACTCACATAATGCAATTTGTGAGATCAAAATATAGGTATTTGAATTTTTTTTAGTATTGTCATAATTCTGTTTCAAGCATACAGATTTATCATGGTGACAATGCTACTGAACAATTCAATTAAAGAATATATAAAACTTGTAGGAAATCTTATCAATACGTGAGACTGTCTCCTTTTTTCTGTAACATAAATATGTACGTTGGTCATTGTGTCATGTGTATAATGCCATGCTTTCTGCTGTGCAAATTAATCTTTAAATATATTTTGAAGAGACTACATAATTTGGAGAACATACTAACAAATGGTTTCATTTTTAATCACACCACTTTTGTATCACAGGCCGTCACCAAAGGTTGACCATKGTTCTCCTTGCTTTTTTCACTTGTKTTTTGAGTAGGTTRCCACTAACAWTGAAATTACTTYTCAGATCCTTSTCCACTGCTGCTCTACAGCTTTGTTTGYAGCAGGTGCAGGAAGCCAACACATCCCCCTTTAGCTTTAATTTCACTCCCTCTCATCCAGTGATGGAGACTACAGTTTCATGAAAAAGCTTTTACATAAATGATGACTTTAAAGGATCTATATTGTTAAAGAACCCCATAACCCCTGTAAGTTGTATTTCATGGGCTATTCCCTGCCACACCTGTGTACTGATGGTTGATGCTACACATTGTCCTTTCTCTGGAGCAGGAGAGGGCCTGGCTGGGATTTCTCTTGTGTAGGGAGATTCCTCAAGTCAGGATGTAAATCAACCCACTAAAATGCAAAATCGAAGCAATTGATGAAGTGTGCATAAAGAGGAAAAATTTCAGGTTATTTCCTGGCACTGTAAGGAGTACAATCCTCATGCTGAAATAAACCTGAGAGCTTGTATGGAATATTTGCTTACCAAGAAATGAGATCCATTCATGCACAGTTTTTCTACAATCGCAGCAGATTCAGGCATTCCAAACTGAGGGGAGAAAAAAGGATTATTATTATAATAGTATGAAACTTGACATTTGTAAACAAACTAATTAATATTTCCATGCTCAAATACTCAGGGTTGTGGAAATTGTCATAGTACTTGACRAGGATAATTAGAAAAAGAATATTGAGTAACTGTAATGCTTAGGCAGTGACTTTCATGTAAGAGGTAAGAGTATTGCCTCTTTCTTAGGAAGAAAGATTACAGGGGGAAAGGGCCAATGAAATTGCAAATGGAGTAGATAAGAAGAAATTATGAAGCAGGAAATGTCATATAAATGGAGCAAAGAGCCCAACAGAAACACTGTGGATTGCTGTGGGATAGAAGCCCCAGAATTAGAAACAGGTTAAAAGGTATCCTGAGGCCAAAGGACATCATCATTCCATGTGCCTGTTTACCAAACTCTGTTTGCCCTGGTGGCTGCTCAGTTTTCAGCACCAGATATTGGTGCTGTGTCTTGCACTTACCCTGAGGATGGGCATTGCTGGAAAGAATTCAGGTTCCAAAACAGGATTTATTTTCTGTAACATGGTTGTGGTGATGGTGTTTTTTAGAGAGTTAATGTTGATTATAAATGAAAATGAAACTGGAATGTCCTGAAGTACTACATCTCAAAATAGAACTGACTACTAAATAGTCATTTGGAAAAAAAGCAAACACTTTGGATTTCCTATTAAAAACTAGGCAAGAATGGAGCAGGGCTGAAGATGTCCTAAAAATCTCAAAGTGTGTTAGATGGCTTAGTGTGGCTTTTAAAAGAAATTATACTGTTATGCATGGAAAGTGGCAAAAAAATCAGAAATCTTTTTTTAAGAATGTACCACTCTCAAAACAATATTTTAGTATTTGTAATGCTTAGATGTAAATGTCTGTAGCAGGAGTGACCAAATCAGATACTAAGAGAGAAATATTGGTGAAATAAGTTCTTCTCATAAACATACTTATGTGACTTCTCTAAGATAATTCTTTATTTCTAGACTACTTAAAAGTKATCATGCTCAAATATCCAACGTGTATTTTAACTACGTTTTGATATGAAAATGCCGTGTTCAGACATAAATTCAATTTTTTTTTTTTTGCCTATTAGCTGATATGCCTGGGTTTATAATTTTTCTCTGCTATGATTGGGAGACTCCTGATTGTAATATAGAAGAGATCACAGTTCAAAGGAGAGGGTTCTGTGGTTGTTGGACCAGCAGTTGGTTGTGGATTGGGTTCATTTGCCATCAACTGCACTGATGGTGGTGGAGAGGCAAAGAATCAAGGTTATGCACTCTCTGCTTTGGCTTTTGCTCATCWATTTCTAGTTTCTAGCTCTATCTCCAGTTACTGAGTTGATGAGTTGCTTTTGAGGTTTGCATTATGCTCTCAATCAAGCACCCAGCTTTTGTGTAAGGGAAATTTTCTTCTTTTTACATGGTTCATGCATCAGACATTTTGGTACTTGTTTCTGTAACTTTAACAGCCTTCTTTTAGGGTTCATGCACATGTATGGCCAGTGTTAGGGTGGGGAGATCCAGCACAGCCTCCAGTACATGGTCTGAGTGTGGAAATGATGGAGGAGCTGGTGCTGAGGCTCTTTGGGATGTTGACAGCTCTGCCCACAGTGGCCACGGGCAAATGGCTGGGCCAGTCTTTGACACACAGAATGGCCAAGCACTTAATGTGGTTACACTGTAGTAATTGGTTTATTTAGCTGCTTTAATCAGTATTGTCAGTGTAAGAATAGGCATTAACAGCTTTTTATAAAGTTGGAARACTCGCCCTTAACAAGTATGAAGCCGGTAGTTATGGAGTGCCTGAAATTTCCCTGGAAGCCTCTGAGTTGTTGAATGATTGTTATTAATTTTCTGTCTTGTATTCTGCATAGAATTACAGGGTACTTTAAAACCATTCTAACCTCTATAAATTGGCCTGATTTCCTTTAAGCTGAAAAGCTTTGAGCTAATTAATCCTCTGAGTAGCTGTTCACAGCACTAAGTTCACAGCTTAGCTGATCTGTTACCATTATGGTATGAATTAATTCCATGGAATAGGTTAGTTTTCTCAGTGTGGGAACAGTGGCCCACCTGTGATGCATCTCCATTGTGAAACTGTTTGTGGTTTTGTGGTCTTTTAATTTTTTTAATTGTACATGAATAAGCATATGTATTTATGCACAGGCAAAATGAAAAAAAAAAAAAACCCAAAAAAACCAAAATGATTATTTCAGACAGGGAAGACTTCACAGCATGATTATTTTCCTCAGCAAAGATTGTATGTTCCTTCAATTGAAAAGGATGAGAAACCTTAATGATTGTRAATTCTCACTGTTGGTGTAAAGAAGGTACTGGAAAAGATTGGTCTTACAGCTAGAATTAGAATAAAGACAAGGAACAGACAAAAGGGATATAAAATAAGACTATAYGCAGAAATGGACTTTATAAGTTACAGGCAGAATTCTAAAACCTGAGTCATAGTATTGAGTAAGTTATAAGGCAAAATAAGATATAAAAAAGGACTATATCAGGGAGGATATATTTTATATAYCTGGGAGAAGATTAATAAGGTAGTGAAAGATGTCTGAAAATGAGCTTGGAATACTTTGTGCATTTCAGGTTATTTTCCATATGCTAGAAAGGACATTGTAGAGCTAGGAAATGTACAAGCCAACAAGGGAAAGGTTAAAAAAACCCAAAAAAGCTCAAGTTCATTAAAATTAACCAAAATCTAGCATCTAGTGTGGGTATATATGCATTGAGAARAAAAGATGAACACTAGATTCTTATTGACATGCTGTACATTTCAAAACTATATTCAAATATAAAACTAGACAAAGTTTCTGTGAAATGATTATTTCTTCCCAGCAGGAAATAAATTTGGGCATGAAATACCTTTTCTATTATAAASAATATCCCTGTGAGCAAACTTTTTTTTGTATGATTTGTAATGTAGGAGATCTTAGGTTCTACCATGAATTAGATTTCTGTAGAAAACAGGAGAGTACTTAAATCCCCAAGTAATATTAATAAGTGGTGACTAAGCTATTTTTAGTACTTTAAAATATTTGTGCTAGATTTAAGATAAGCTATCTTGTTTTCAAGGATAAATCCAGTAATAGTTTGTCCTTGCTGCATATAGACTGAACTCTCCAAAATGTTACCCACAGATTCGGTACCTGTCTTAAGAGATCTGCAACTTGAAAAGTTGTCCAGCTCTCAAACTCGTCCTGAGATGGCAGTTTTGTGGCCATGTCGCTATCCTGGGAGAAAGGCTTGATCTGTGTGAGTAACTGAACTGYTGCTTTGCTGTTTTTTACTGAACTGATGTAGAAATCCTAGGAGGAAGTCCTTTTTGCAACTTTTTTCCTGTTTGCTCACTTAAAGTGAACGCCTAGAAAGGGTGATTTAGGAAGTACCAATGTTCTTGTGTGAGTGACTCCAGTGTAAGGAAACTGGTTGTTTTATTAACATGTGCACATATCTATCATTACTGAAATCCATTAAGTTTTGCTGAAGATCAGCACATAAAACATGTGAGTRATTTAAATATGGAAACTATTTTTCATACCTATTACAAAAAGTATTAGTGATAGCTGTCTTTTGCCTCCCTTGAAGTCCTCGACTCAGATGCTTGGTTCWGCCTTCAGATTGCATTTGTCGTGCTTGTGGGTTTTGACATGTTGTGCTCTGGTGTTTAGATAGAGAAAAAATAGAGCTCAATTGCAGAACTTTCATTTCCTTATTGTCACATCACATAATGTCATTTTTATGTCAAGTCTGGGCATCATACTTTTAGACTCAATTCACTTTGTTATTCTAAGGTGATGTATGATCTAAAATTGTTGGGATCTTCATGGGTTTGTTTTTATTCTCTCTTTTGATTATTCTTCTGAAGAAAAAATTTTCAGGCAATTAATTTTAGTATTACATTATCTTTTCAACATGTAAGGATGTACTGAGCCAGATCATAAGATCACCCAGCCCAGCATCTGCTTTTCTGACTGTGGTCAGAAGGGAGCTGCCTTGGAAACTGGATAGAAACAGGGTGAGCTCATAAGACTTGCACACTGTGCTCCCAGTCCCCTGACATTTTCAACTTGGGGACCTGCTGGTCTGGGTGAGATTTCAACTTTGTGTCACCCCAGAGATTCATGTTTGGAGCAATGACCATTGTTCAAGGAGGGAGATGCACAAACAGGCAGAGCCAGGAATTTCTCCAGAGCTGCAGGAGGAGTAAAACTTTTTTTTTTTTTTTTTGTGGAGATTGGGGCTCAGATGGAATTGAAGGAGCAGTGCCAGCAAGGCTCAGGATGGGAAATTCTGCTCCTTTTCCACCCCTGTCCCTGTCTAGACATCTCTGAACTTCATCCCCGCTTCTCTGTCCTTTTCTTCCTCTTCACCTCTATGTTAAACAGAATACACTTCCAGTTGGAGGCAAACAGGATATGAAATTTTTATACTGGAGAAGGGGGCAGGGTACACATTCTAAAATGGAGCAAGGGGGAAATGTTTGAGAGCCATTGCTTTATAGAATGGGCAATAAAATTGTGAAGATGCAGCTGCAGCTGTTGAAGCAAACCCAGATTATTTGCTCAGCAGTTCTCAGTCATCACAACAGCACAAATATGAAAGCTTCCATAAAAGGCCAGAGACCAAGGAATGTTATATTCTGCTTTCCAATTATTCTTCCTTTCCTGTTTTGTTTTCCCATTGTAAAATGGAGTTGGGGCACATGTTCAAAAATTGAAATGGATGTTAGCTAAGCTGAAGTGTCTCATCTAGTATCCTTCAATTTTTCCCGCCTGTATTTTTACTGTTAGAGTGACTGACAGGTCAGTTGCTGCCAGTGAATACCTTTTTGCTATTTTCTGACTTGGCAGAACATCAAATCTTGCAAAACTCAACTCCTGGAGTTTCAGAAATAAGATAGAAGCTCTTGCATCTTAAATGTGTCCTGCTCAGTATAAGCTCCCGGTGCCTGGTTGGCATATTATAAAAAAAAAAAAAAAAAGTTGAATTTCATAGTGCTGCGCTGTGTTCAATGTTTCATAATGTTGGCTGTGAGTTTTTCCAAGGGGGGCAAAATTTTCCAGGCAGGAGGCAGCAATACTCTCTTCCACTGTGTGCAAAACCAGAAGAGAGGTGCATTTATTCCTTAAGAAATTTTTTCTTGCCTAGTTAGAGTGCAGGAGTGATTTTGTCAGTTGTGGAGCCTTCACRCATGGCGAAGGTGGGAAGCAGCTGGGTAGGAGATGTGTGAGTTTCACGTTTAATGGCTGCTTATACGAAACAACAAAATAACAGATGGCATCAGGTGTGAAACATGAGTCATGTGAAGTGCAGATATTTCTGTGGCACAGGCCTGTTTGCTTACTGAGTAGGTGGCAGCAGTCCTAGTTCAGAACACCTCAAAGGCACATTAAAAATAGCRCTTTAAGAACTTTGCAGTTCAGTGCGCGCTATCAGCCGTACCTGCTCGTCCTCCTACGATTGCCCATCAGTCCAGGAGCATTTTCTGCAATAGTGAGGTGCGAGGAGCTGCTCCTGTTGCCATCTGCCCTCTGCTGTCCCACTCCTCCTGCCCTGCCGGGTGCTGCAGGGTGAGCTGGAGCTGTGCCCTGCCCCTGCCCCACCTGGCTGTGCTCAGCCATCCTCCCTTCCTCCCTCTCCTGCTTTCTCTCTGCTCTCCCCCAGCACTGAATTGTGGCTGATTCTTCTCTGTTGACATTGCCTTAATTTGTATTCTGGGCTYGTGGGACAGTGTATGCAACCCACCTCTCTCCACTGAGTGAGGCAGATCTGTTTGGGAAGGTCAGGCTCAGTTTTGTGCCCTCAAAGGRGGTGTCCCACAAGTGGTTGAACCAAGGGGACTGTAAGACTTCAAGAAATATTTTTCCATTTTTGTTTTAGTCAGATTAAACATAATGACAAGAGAAAAAAGAATAAAAGCAGGGAGATGGGAAGGCTCGTCTGGGATCCTGCATCTTGTCTCGATGCTGCTGTTGCCCTTGGCTYGATCGATGCTGGAGTGTTTGTCCTCAAGTGTGTGTAACAGAAATGGAGAATATTGTCATGCACTTCCACTCTCTTTCCACCACCCTCAAGGGGATTATTTTGAGAATTGTTGGCTGGAGAGCCTCAGATTTGATTACTGATTCTGCTCAGTACCCTCATACTTCTGTTACTCTGTGTAGTGTGTCACCTTCCATGGTGTGATAAATCCACATAAATATGCACACTTGAACACGTGCTGGCTGTGAGGGCTGTACTGGGGGAATTCTTGAGCACAATACTGACACTTCCTGAGTTCCCCAGATAAAGRCAGGCCACAGAAATGGTTTCTTTCCAAACTTCCAGGTGCTTACATAAAATTTTGAAGCAGATTGTAGATRCTTGAATGTGAAACAGCACTAGCCTAGGGCAGGTCAGGCTCGCTTGCTACTYGAATGTTCCCTGGAGCCTTCTGATCTGCTGTGGACACTGGCAGACTTCAAAATGTATTTGGGTTCATGTGCAGAGAGTAATCTGCTGGTTTTGCTTGTATCTTACTGGAGACATTAACATTTTAAATCTGTACTGCTTATAACTTCACTCCTCTGAGAAAAGGTAGAAATCTGTTCCTATAGATTTAGAAATTTCTTTCTCTTTTTGGAACCCTAATAAAAAAAGACTTCTTGAGAACTACCAAATTGCAGAGAAATCTAAATGTGTGCATTTTATGCACTGGGTATTTTGACCTCTAAAGAGAAATTCATTCCTGATACAAACCCCATAAATCAAACAGAGTTAACAAATCTTTGCACCATATATTTGCAAAATATTTTCTAGAGTCTGAAATGTACAAGCAATGTAGAGAGGAAACTTTTACATGCTACAGCTCCTTGGCTTTTTGTAAATTAGGTTCTCAATTTGTGATTTCATAGGTACTTAAAAGACAGCATAAAAACTCTTTCCTAGATCATAACACTGGCATTTCTTGCTAAATACTCTCTATATGTTCATGAACATAAGCACTAAATGTGTTAAACTTATCTCAAAGCTTTCAAAGTCAAGTTCTGCTTTACAAAACCCTGTAGCAGCTGCAAGCAACTTGTTTTACTGGATGTAAAATTGGAATACTGCCCTCAGGAAAATRTGCTTGAACAAAATAACTCAATGAAATATTACTGCACAGAAAATATGAACCATTTCACTGTGTGTTTCTTCCTCTTTTATACAAAAATAATGAAAGTAACATGACTTACCACATACTCCTTTATTTTTCTCCCAGGCACAMATGTTGGAGTTGATTCCAAATAAGTTAAAGGAGCAGTTTCTCATGTCTGCTCTTCCTCCTTAAACTGTCCCATATGTATTTTGTTGTTATTAGTGTGATTGACAGGCTTGGCATTCATGGTGGGTGGGAGAAAAACATTCTTAAAGCAAAAAGCTACAATAAATTTGTAGTCTAAATAAGTCCACAAAGAATGTTGGAAAACCAAGTCTTGCTTACAGCTATCTGTCTGGAAGTTTGATAAAAGTCTTCCTAATTGGTTTTGTCCGTTTTTAATTTTACAGGAAATAAAAATAGCAACATAATCAACAGAAATCACAGAGTCTGAAAGGGAMCTTGAGTGATCTTGGCAGGGCTTCAGCAGAGAGGCAGGATCAAACACAACTAGAGGAAATTGGGTCAGTCTTGGAAATCAGTTTGGTAGCCCATTTTTCTGAGTTCTTGGGGAAACAATTGGGTTCACCATGTCCTTGAGTGGAACAGCAGGAAGATCTGTAATAAATTTTGTGCTCTACTGAGGGAGGGARCAAAAGAAGGTGTCTCTAAGGATAATTGCTGTCTGAGCACCAGATGGGCTTGACTAGGACATCCTCCTTTTTGTGAAGAAGCAAACSCAGTTTCATTGGCATTTGCTCATAAGGTAGGGGTTTGGGAAACTCTTGTTAAGTCTTTTTACTTTCAGCACGCTCTTCAATTTGGCTGAGTCTTACTGAAACATGAGGTGTCTAAAATGGCCCCARAATTTATCCCATGGAGACCCCTTCTGGCCCAGGGATATCCTGATAGACTTTAGGAGTGTGTTTGTTATGCAGCACCCATGTCATTAACMAAATCCTGAATGTGAAACACCAGGACAAACTCCTGTGAAACTCTACTTGAAGTAATTTTTGAGTTTGGAAATGATTCACMGATATCTTCTCAATGAGAGTCAGCTGAGCTCTTAGAACAGTGCTTTAACTACATTTCTCCAGTTTGTATGTGATGATTTTTGTGTGGGACCTCAWTAAAA